CACAGGGAAGCAGTGATCTGGATAACACCAAGATTCACAAAATTCTCTTCACAAGTTCAAGAGCCAAAGATTTTAACCAGGATTCAGTGCTGCCCACATTGCCTGTTGAAGCTGCAATGGATATCATTGAGAGCTGTCTGTGCAAAGGACAGAATACAGCTGTTTTAAATTCTGTTAATCAAGATACTCTCTAATACTTCATGCATTGCTGCCTTCCTGAAATAAGTGAAATAATTTTGCTAATTCGTTAATGCCAAATATACCAGTCATACAAGCTGAACAATGAGATGAAATGGAACATCAGACTAACCCAGCACCTCCAAGACCCGAAGGGCCTGAACAATGTGATCTTTAGAAAAGCTTATTTTAACCGCTATCATGTTATGCAGTATCAATAAGCAGGAGCTCTAATTGCTGATACTCATGTCCTACAAAAAGAAATGAAGGCACAGATGGGAAATTACTCTCTTCTCTGCAGATATATTGAGAGAAATGACAAATGAAAAAGATTAAACTTCAGGGATAAAAATTCTGTTGCACAGTCTTGATGCTAAACAAGTACAACAAAAAGAATGCAAATATTTCGGAATTTCAGAGTTAATGAAGGAGGATAACAAAAATGAGAGCACTTGGAAAACTGAGTAAAGACATCAGAAGGACTCCAGAAGGTTACGAAAAGAACACTGCTATGACTTTCAGTGCTACAGCTAATTTAAAAGACAACATAAAAACAATATGGGACAAACTCCGAACAGGCAGCCAAGGCATCGTGACTAAGCACAGGATGAAAAGAGAGCCCTAATAGGTGCATATCTCATTTTCTCATCTGCATATTGATGAAAGGTATTTTACCTCAATTACACTCAAACATTTTTAAGTTCATGGATGTGAATCAGATTCATATAATCAAAGAATGGCTCAGGTTGGAAGGGACCTCAAGGATCATCAAGCTTAGACCCCTCTGCCACAGGCAAGGCCACCAACCTTCATATGTAATACTAGACCAAGCTGTCCAGTGTCCCATCCAACCTGGCCTTCAGTAGGAAGGATTTCTTAAATCCTGAACACAGACTTAAAGAATGAAATATGAAATACGACTGTCTCTGGGAAAGAGAGGTCCAGACTTAGCAGATCTATTATTACTCCTTAATTGATGTTAAAATTCTGATTATTATTCACCAGCTACTGAAAAAAAAAGCATCCTACACATTTGGGTCTAAAGACCAGAAAACAGAACTTTCAGAAATCAAAGCTTGGCCTACTATATGTATTACATGCATACAATATAGTTACAGCTACTACATTATATCACTACAAATATATCTCACTCACTCTTACTGAGCTAAGAGCCACCTCCACTTTATTTACGTTTTCCTTGACAGTGCTGATGTCTCTGTTTCTTGTAGATGTTTTTTTCTGAATTGGAGAACCAGTGCAATATGGAAAGAGGAAACTAGGCTTAACTCACCTTTCATCTGCATGGGAACAGACTTTTATACTTAGAAAATTCACAAGTTAAGAGTTAAATTTATCTACAGATTATTAAGAGAGAAGAATTACAATTCCTCCTTTACAGAATGGTGTCAAGACTCAAAGCCTTAAAGTTTTATTTCTACTTTACTACAGGAGTTCATTTTTTTCCTCCACCATAATTCAATGCAATTCAATTGAATTCACCCTACAGGGCATAAAATTCCCAACAGATTAGGTGGGACTTCAAACTGCCTTGACTTCACCTTTTATTAGTGCAGCTAAGCACAGAAAGATTAAGCAGAATTTTCTTTAAGGATGATTTACTCGACACTAAAGCTATAACCACAATTTATACATGAATACAGCAAAACTATTGTTTACAAGGTAGTTATTCGAAACTTCTTCTTAGGAGAAAGAACACATTGCTGGAAGTCACAGCCAAATTCATTTTCAACTACTGGTTTACTTTGTACTGACTGTACTCCTTTGTCCTGTATGTAATTCATGTTCTATCACAGCTTAAACAGCCAAGAAATACACTGCCTGATATAAACCACTGTACCAACTTAATAAATACATCAATTGTTGTAAATAGTATACATAACTAGTGTAATAGTATACACTAGTATACTACTAATAGTATACATAACAGATTAGTATAGTTTAATATAGGCATACACATATAATTTGAACTTGTCCACAGATAATACAATAAACTGTAGTTGTATCTTCTCCAATCACATGTAGTAAAGTAGTTAAAATATATGTGTTTAATAACATCATTTTTAAGTAAAGCCTAACATGAGGCACCTATAGCATTCATGTGATATAGCCAAAGAGCATTTTGCTACCTCTCCCATATAGCTAATTACACCATTTATTAATTTTAGGGAAAAATACGCTAACTCACTTATCTCAAGGAAATTACATGCACATCTGCTGGAAGTCTTACAGGTTGCTTCTGGTATTGGAGGAAGAGACCTCTAACAAAGAAGAATTTATACACAGTCACTACGCACTTCATACAGCACTTTTTTTCCCTCCACATCAGGATTATTTTTGTTGTTTTAGTTGGCAAATTTTGCTGTTAAAGCTTTGAATAGCCTGAAAATTGCCTTTTCTGTACACTGTCCTCTCTTCATATGCTATACCACAGCTGCAACATTCAGCTGGAAAGCTGTTGTCTATTCCTATCTCTGAGTTGCCAAGCTGAATGGCAGTCAGGCACATGCTGAAAGGACAGAACTAAATGGGGAATTATTTTTACAGTCACAAGAGAGTCTGAGATTGCTACATTCAATACTTGTCAATACAAACAGAGGGTAAGTGTAGTATTTGGAAAAAAAAAAAAAAAAAAAAAGGCAAGAGTAGCTGTGGAAGGAATTCCATTTACATTGCACCTCTATCCATTTGTGTGAATACAGAACTTTCAGAATTATATAGAAACACTATCTATTAAATTTACACCATATCTACTTAAAAACAGATTTACTAAAAACATTCAGTGATTGGAAGCAGGGCATAGATAAACAGTATATCGTCAAAAATCACTCCATTATTTTTGTTAATTTTATTATCAAAGTATGAGGTCCTTATTGCAAACTCCAATAACTACTGAAATTCTGGGAAAGCTTAACAGACTTTTAAGGATTAGCTATTCAGTAGGTGTAACTCCTTTCCCTCACACTAGCTGATGCACAGAAGGATGATGAAGTGCTCTCAAATCAAATTTCTCCCAAGCCACATTTCGTTGCCTAAATAATGATAAGAATGCTGGAGCTTTTGATTTCCAGGCCACCCTAGGGCCGTATTTCTTTAATCACAAGTACTGCTCTGTACTTCCTCCTAAAATATATGCAAAATAAACAGTGCCTAAAATCTGTTCTTACCTCTTTCTTACCTCTGGAGCATCTTGTAGGATGACAATACAAAAATGAAAATATTTCAGGTAATTTGATTAAATTAAAAAAAGCAAAAAACAGATGAATTGCATCGGAGTCAGTGAACTCTTTCTGACCTCCACAATTCTGTGATTCTGTCTTTGCTACCGAACTCCTAAAAAAGCTAATCCTTTTACTTTTTTTTTTTTCCCCATTTTTCCATTCCATAATTTGAAACATTCGTAGAAAGTGTTGAAAGGTTTTGTAGTTCCATTTAGAGCATCTAGACATTAATTGTTTCCATAGAAAAGAAAGTTCCTTTTCTCTTTCCTCAAGTGAAACTTTTTGATTTATTGAGGTCCTTTTTAATGCTATAAACTAAAAGCAGATGAGTAATACAAATTGGACTCAGTTCTTTTTGAATAATCCTAGGAACATCTGTACACTGGTCAAATCATACACAAGAAGAATATAAAGACAGGAGAGAAAACACAGGTAAGATAGAATGGAAAAGACATCAATTGAAGGCTTTAGAAACCCATTTGCCTGGTGTATTTTCCTTCCCATCTAAATCAAGACTTTCAGTTTAATCATTACTTTACCTCCAAGTTCAATTTTCAGTGTTATTTCTTTTTCTTTTTGAGAAGCACTAACCACACAAATGCCCCAAATAACACTAATACAGAAACTGCTCGGTCAGTGAATCACAACACATTTATTCATCCTCTCTATTCTGTAATCAAAGTACTTCCCTGAAAACAGAGAATCACAATGTGGCAGGATAGAGAGGTATAGACAAAAAGTACTCCTCAAGCATTTATGATCTTATGAATACCAACTTACCTACATACCTTTCCTGAGCGTTTATCCATTCTCCAAGCATTTTACAAGCTATTTAAGAAAAATCATGACCTTCTTGTAGCATAGTACCTAGAGAACCCAGTCAGGCTGAATCTGCATTCAGTACCCAACAATGAATAGAAGAAGCTACACAACTGCTTTTTGTTTTCCCTTCTCATGGGTTTTCTTGGACTAAGTTCGGAAGTGATTCATGGCAGACTATGTACAACTGCTAGTGAAGTACAATAAAGGGTACTAGTGAGTCGAAAGAAGATAGCCCACACAAATCCTGTATACAGAATTCAATTTCATGAAAGACTACTAAGTTAGTAATAAGGCAAATAGTAAACAACTCTGAAAGGAATGGTCAAACAACCAGTTAAAAACCCAAACATATCTGGAATCTGTTCAAATACAGTATATCAGAAATTCCCAAAGCCCTAACTAAATCTATAAAACTAAGAACATCAAAGGAAACAATTCAGAAAAACATGCTGAGAGGAAAAGATCATGAAAAGCTATTAAAAAAAATCAAGTTAAACAAAGAGTGATGTAAGAAGGAATTTGACAGTAAATTCAACAGTATCAGCTGCAGAGGTGTTTGTTATCAGGTAACAACCTACAAAAATTAACCAGTATATAAGCATACACTATAGGGCATAGGCAGGAATAAGTCCTTGAACTCCACAATTCCAGTGACTGCAGATGATGTGAAAAGTGAGGCAGGCTTGCATGCTCTATGAGAATAGCATTTGTTATCACCATTGTTACAGGTAATACTGATGCACTTCAGTACTCCTCTCTTACTTCATTTTGGAGGTCCCGGATTATTCTGCTCTTCCTTTCCATTTCTGTCTTCAAAAAATTAATCTATAAGTTGAATAAAAATACTGAGTGAGTTTCTGAAACTTAGCTGAGCACCACCTTAAGCTTATTTTTTTTCTTTTAACTTTATTCATAGCTTAAAAAAAATAAACCATCCCTAGTAACAACATATCTTGGAAAACTATTGTTTTAAACCAGACTGGTATAGGTCATCACTTTGTGTTTCATGATTAACCTATAAGTGGATACCATGATATTTATTGGGAAACTTAGAATTGAGGAAAGAAAATCACTATGCATAAAACCCCTCATTTGACTTTCGTGCTAGTAGATATAGCTTTCTTTGTAATCAAGTCCATGGAGATCTTCAGAGAACTAAGGATTTTTTTAACAGTAGGTTACTAACAGTCATTAGTCCTAATGAGAACAGATCCAAGCTCCACATCAGGATAATTTATTAGAGTATTGTTCTTCCTTAGTCCTAATTCAAAAGAACATCAATGCTCCCTCAAAACGTATCAGCTCTAAATCTGGATGAAGATACGGCACTGAATTTATTGACTGTGCTCTCTATACATTTGTATAATCAGTGAATGCACAGACATTATAATTATGGAATATACCAGAGAGTTTGGCTAAGCAGGTTACTGTACAATAGAGAATGGATAGAATACTTACTCATGTCCTGGGCTCGCCGCAAAACTCCAGAGGAGAGGATCTCCAGAAGAGATCATCCCCCACTCGTAGTCAGCTCTTAAATGGGTCTAGGAGAGGTGCAGCTAGGCTCCACCCCTTCCAGTAGCACAGGTGAATTGCCTTCACCTGTGCTCCCATGGCTGACTCATTGCTCACCTCAGATGATCAATCAGAGGTTCAGGCTATGATTCAGCATTTCCCATACAACATTGCTTGTAAATATCAGCTAGGTGAAGAGACAGTGAATGTGGCCAGCAACTTGCATGATTATCTTCACCAGTCCTCACATAATAATGGACGATAATATTGTTTCAGAATCTCAAGTTGAGAAGTACAATCAGAAAGCAAATAACAGGGCACAAACCCCCTTTCAAGTGTACAAATTCTGCTTTCAGCCTCCAAATCCTGATATATATGAATAGGCTTTTGGGTTTTCCTCTACCAAAGGCATGCGAGCTAAAAAATTTAACTATGAAACTCTCTACATCTTTCTCACTTTCTACTCACTTTTTGTTCTTGTTTGACATTCAACTCTTTTCTAGTGTTGGCTTTCTTTAATTACTATCTAGCTAATTATGAAAACACAATGAAAATGTATTGGTGTTCTAAGGCTGAACTCTACAATGCTAAGCAAGGACACTGCTTCTGTCTCCTGGAGACAGACATTCAAGGTACACAGAGCTTTGTGTGCTTCAGAGCTCATTACGTTTATTAAAGGCAACAGCTTCCATCCAGTAGCCTTTGCTCAACAGCAGAATGTGACCTTGAAATGCTGAAATTAGATTTTCCCCCACTGAAATATAGAATGCTTTAGCAGATGGCTGTGATCTAATTCTGAGAGACAGACAATAGTTAGTTACTCATCGCAGAGCAAGGACAGACTAATACCAACACAAAGTCATTACTGCACAGTCAAAGCTCATCTGTACACTTATTTGCTTACCTGCAGACACCTTTTACATTGCCTAGGACTAAGGCAGGAATTAAGATGGGACTGAAATACCTTTACTGGCATATCTGTAATACCACTGTTAATATCCATTAACTCTAGTACAGTCAGTATTAATCTTCATAGTCTAATTTTCAAGTTACACCATAGGAATTGACTCTGAAAGCCAAGAGAATAGGAAGCTATATACACAAGAAATATTCTATCTTTTGATAAAGTGAGAAAATAATCCACAACCTGTTCAATATTTCTGAAAGCAAAGCCAAACACAGTTTATGCCTGCTAGGATTCCTTAGGTGAATTCAAATTTAAATTGCAATTTGTGAATTAATAAAAAACATTTTTGTCATAGAGACATGTATGACTTTGTCATAAAAACTATTAGCAAATAATATATTTTGAAGTGAAATGGACATCTCATCTTTTTATGAATTAGTGGTGGTAAGAGATCTGGCAATAGATTTCTCACAATTCAATCCTACATGTTCTGTTTGTGTTGTATTACTAAGAAGGTCCTAGTGATATCCAATTAACCATATCATTTTTGCTTAGTTTTTAACGTCATGCACAATGAGTTACTTAATTCTAAGTTTTCATAGCAAGCACTAAGCAACTAGGAAAAAAGATTTTACACAGGTGTATTTTCTCCTCTATTTTGACAAATTGGACAATAATACACTGTTAAACTGTCACTGCGTCTTTCTTAAAAACTGTTAGTGTGATATAAAACAGCAGCAGGAACAAAATGAAAAAGGCATTCTAAACTTAGCCTACCTACCCTACTTTCCCTATTTATTTCCCACCCCCTCCCTGTTTCTTTGGTAATTTCTCATCTTCATTAGAAAAAACTAGTCCAGCTGGTTCTATACACTCTGATTGAAATTAATGGGAAAGAGCTTTAAGTAGTGGTTCCTTTTCACATATAAATAAAGCAATGGTTTAACTTTTTTTAAGAAATACATTCACTGCAAAGCAACCTATTATAAACTACTACTACTTTGGTATTTAGTACTAAAAAGTTTTACCAACTTTTAGTGATTGCTAAAGGAGACAGCAGGTTATTCCTGAATGTTTTATATACGTATTATACACCTAAATCCAGTATAGTACTCCTAACAAACTTCATTTTAGAAACACCTTTTGGCAGACAAATAATCCACAGTTGCAAGCTGGCTAGTAGACCAAAAAAGATCTTCACAATTCTAAGCCTTCTGGAAGACTACTTGACCTTGAACTTTGCAACACAGGGCCACTGAAAAATTCAAGCCATCCTCATCAAAATAGTTTTCCTCTGCACTTCTAATCATCTTGCACAGATTGGAGGTAGAACAAGAGATATGAATTTATCATAATCCTGCCATATAACTCATCCCAAAATAAACTGATGCTCTTTGTATGCTGGTGCTACAAATGCAGATGACAAAGGACCTAGAAAGGGAGTCACTCTCACTCAGGGCCCCCAGTCTGTCCTCAGCACAACTGGAACTGTCAAGGACAGGAATGTCTTTTTGGTTCCTCAAGACTGAACCTCTCCGTCAGTCCTCAAAACAGCTTCAGGAGTTATCCACTGAGCCCTATCACTACCTCAGTAAATCCACAGAACGGCAACTTTTTAGCTGTCCTAATGTCCTTGGCTTCTCTAATATTGAAGAGTTTTTAAAAATTGACTCCAAAGTACTTTTGAAATATTTGTTCAGTCTTTCTGCTGGTGAATAGATGCATTTTATCCTCAGGCACAAAGAAATAAGTGTCACAAATCAAGGACCCAGCACAGCTTTCCTTAAAATCAGAGGTCCATTTAGTATTCTTTTATTAGCAACTTTTAGAACACAGTTCAAGAATTCAATTTCCCTATCTATATAATCAATGAATATACAGATACTATAATTAAGAAATATACAGGAAAGTCAGGCTAAGTAAGATTATTCCAACAGGAAGATAATAAATGGAAAACGCTTACTGACGTTGTAGGCTTACAATATTCTCCACAAGGAGTGATCTCCTGGAAGAGATCCTTCCTCAATGGCAGTCGTCTCTTACATGGGATCTAGAAGAGATGGAGCCATGCTCCAGTCCTTCTGTAGCACAGGTGAATTACCTTCACCTGTGCTCCCATGGCTGACTCACTGCTTGCCTCAGGTGGTCAATCAGAGGTTCAGCCATGATTCAGCAGTTCCCATACACTATCTAACCAGATGACAATCCTCTACTTTAAGTTCTATTATAAACTCAGGGGGGGGGTTGTTGTTTGTATCTTGTTTGATTTTCTGTGATAGATTTGTGATCTCCCAAAAGTATTATACTAGGAGCTGAATTTATGCAAAGCACCGTTCTTAAAGCTAAAAAAAAGAAAAACATGCTGCATAGCAAAACATAGAGCCAATAATCTCTTCACCTCAGCTGATATTTATTTTACTACAGCCAAGATAATCTTGAGTAACAAACATTATATAAAAATTAAATAACATGTTTTCCACATTTAATTTGTAGGGCTAGAATTTGGTTTGTCACCTCAGCTATGAGAATGTATCAGTGCATCTGGAAAAGACAATTAAAAACAACTTTGGAATAGCATGTTTTGAATATGTAGCAGAGAGGATCAGGCCCTAATCTTTTATTTCAGAGTGATATATCTGTTACAGTACAAAACATCTTCAAAGAAGTGTAGATTTTTTTTCTATACATATTCTGCTCAAACTATTGAAGAAGATTCAAAATATACCTCATTTTTTTCAGGTTTGGTCAGAATACTACTTGCTTATTTCTTTCCCCTCAAGACTAGATGAGGGCTTTTATTCTCTAGAGAAGCCTACAACTACTAACAATTCAGTAATTATATGCTGTGGAGGAACATTACTTTAGCGTAGTATAGTATTCTACTTTAAGCACCTAACACATAGTTTAGATGTCATGACTACCTACTCTGGGTCAATCTGGTCCACAAATTGGACCAAAGATCTCTTACTACGGACACTGTAATATATTCATTAATTTCAGAGAGAATGTCTTTAATTCCTAAATATTAAATAACTGAAATTAAAATTGAATGAAACTGAAATAACGAACTCGTCTCTTGTTCACAAAGGACTGAAAGCCACACAGAAATCACATCAAGGCATTTCTGAATATTTGCTAAATTGCATATTCATACATACATACAAGTACCCTTGTACTGTGAGCCTGAGAACTGGTCAAACATTACTAAATAAGCCATCAATTACAAAATATGAAACTAAAAAATATATCCACAAAACCTGTTAAGAATCACAGAACACTTGAGGTTTATAGGAAATAAATCTCCAAAAATTATCTAGTTGATTAATGCTCAGCAATATTCATGTTATAAAATTACCACTGAACAAGACTGGACCACTTTCATATTTATATCCAAGAACTAAACAAAGAACAATTTTTTTTTTTTCCCTGCAATAACAAAATTTGGCTGTTTGTGCCTTGAATTTATACCTTCCAGTAGTGATAATGAGATCTAGTGTTGTCAAGACTTAACTTTCTCTTACTTACTTTCATGCTGAAAATTAGTAGCAATTAAGAAAAAAGTCAGTGGCAGTATGACAACATACTTTGGTATAGATGAGACAAGAGGTCCATAAATGTAACCTCATAAGACATAAGGACTTGGGTCCAAATCTCCAAGAAGCTGGATACACACACCTACATCCCACAGAAACTAGTGGAAAAACATCTACATTTTCTGCAACATACCAATTTTATCCACCTCCTTTTATTTGAACCTTACAGAGTACTAATGCATCGGAAATCTTAGGTTTTGTTTTAACATGTAAGACATCTGAGATAATGCAAAAAACTTAGGCGAGGAGGATTTAAAAAAAAAGATGGAAGAAAAAAAAAAAAGGAAGAGGGACAGACTCACTCACAGTAGCTTGCTGCTTTTCTGCCTTCTCAGCTGCCTCATTAAGCTGCTTTTGAAAGGCCTCCTGAAGAGATTTCATTTCTTCCCTAGGCATTGAAAAAACAAAACATAAACTTCATCCCAAGAGTCCAGTACAAAATCATTCTTCAGTTTCCAGAGAAGAGTGACAGATGTGTTGCATTTACTAAGTGTCTTGCTAATAAAATTAAAATGACATCATGAAATATAGCGCCAGAACAAGACAAAAATTTGTTCATGATGGAAATTTAAGCTCATCAAATGTCCTGTTTTGCAAAACATCTGCCAGTATACAGTCTTTAGAAAAAGGAATTGGTACAATAAAAGCAAGGGAAGTGGACCTGGAAATACACTATAATCAAGAACTACTCATTCTAGAAACAACGGGGAAACCAATAGAAGATGCTGGAATACAACTGCACAAGAAGATGTAATAATTTGGATGGGGCAGTGGTGGATTCAAGATATTTTTGCATTACTAATACAATCAGAGTTTCTCCAAGGTGATTACAGCAGATCTTCTGGTCATCTCTTTTACCCACAGGTGACACATTTTGGAGCTGCTGCAAAGTACAAGACTGACAAATTTCATAACTTTTGCAGAGCATTTTCAGAGATGTTGCTTGCATCAATAAAATTTAATGAATAAGGAGCAGCGTAGAACCAACTTTACACTGAGATGATAACTTAACTCAGTGAAAATCAGCCAGGAAAAAAAGGCAGCAGGCTTGTACAAGAACAGAAATTATGAGCTGCTGAATCATCTTTTTTTTTCTTTTTTTTTTTTTTTCTTTTTTTTTCTTCTTATTTTATAGCTATTTTATGTTCACAGTTTGGAGAATGCTGGTACAAACAGATTGATCTGAAATAGAGACCTAGCAGCATGAAACCAATGCATCATCAGCACAAACCAGCTCTATCATTACATACACAAATGCAACCATTCTGAAACACGAACAGTGCACAAAATAACTGACCTTTAGATATCATACTAAATGACCAAATTATACTTGCCAAAGTAAACTCACACTAAGGCAATTAAAAAAAAAAAAAATAAATAAAAAAAATCTAACATGAAATCAGAAGGGCTACATTAATTTACACAAGCTGAGATTCTAGCACTCCAAACTTTACTTTAGAGTTTATCACTGCAGAGCACAATCAAAATGGTGCTCACAGACCAAGCGCAGCTCACATTTGTCCAATCAAATCATTATATATTTTGGATTGTAGATCAAATACAATAGATTCAGGCAGAACAGTATCAAGTTCATCATTCTTCACTTGCTGAACAAGCATAACCTGAATCTGTTGGCAAAGAAAGTGATAAATTCTATGAGGGGGACTTGTATTGCTAACAGTGGCTTCTCATACTGCACGTGTCAAAGTAAAAGTGAGAGCCTGTAAATGGCCGTCAAGAGCCCACAGTAGATACAAGCCATTTTCTTGGGGCCTACAGTAAAAGCCTTTTATTTTCTGCCGGAAGGTGAAGGCTGCTTGGTCTTATGCTGCATACTGTATTGCTCCAGGGTCGGTATCTGTGAGTTACTGTTGTGCAGAATACCTAGTGGTTGATACACTTAAAAGTCCACATTTGGTTTTAGGTAGACCTTGAGAGACTTCAAGGGAAGATTTAAGAAATATATCAGGAAATTACATTTTATTATACAACTAAGAAATACAATTTTCCCTTAGCAGACTAGGTTTTCCTATCTGCAACTGGGAAAGCCTATTTACTGAATATACTTTTAATTACTAAATAATGGTTTTAATCAGTTAGCATTACTATTTTTATATAAATTACACAACAATCTACCATTGCAAAACCAGGATCATATATGAAGGACACATGGCAAGAATAGCAGCGATGCTTTCATTATAGCCATGTAACATGTAATTGTTTAAATACTGTACTAGCTGAACAAATTCTTTCATCATTTAACAGATTTATATGGAATATCTGAAAGACTCTTATCTATTCAATCCTTCTCCATGGAAGCAAAATTGAGAAGATCTGTATTGTTTTCTTATGGCTCCAACTTGCTTTGTACTGAAGAACTGGAGGATCTTGTCACAAGCAATCTCAAATCTTCATGTGTGCTTCAATAAATACATTATCAGCAGTAGAAAGATTGAGAGATTTAAGTCATGTATTTCTAGCAATAGTGTACCATCACTATTTCTTTGTTTCCAGAGAAAAATATGAGATATGGATGCATTCATTACATAATGCTGTTTCAGACAATGTGTTTCCTGTAGTAGTAATGTTTACTTGTGATTGAAGTTGTATTAATGCTGTGATTTACTCATCTGAACTATAATAACAAAAAGTAGCAGGTCAGAGAGTGCTGAATAATGACAATACGAAGGAATAGGAAGTTTCATATTTAAATGTTTGGGAGAAATACAAAATCCTTTTTCTTAATAGATATCTCCCCAACTGATGTCCAATATCAGTTCATATGTCGCATATGTTTCAAAATCTTCTCACAAGATAGCATTCCTTGCCTTTATTTCACTGTTACTGCTAGGATCAGTAGACTTCAGACTATGTGAGTGTTTATAATTTAAGGCAAAGGAGGGACGATGTTTTCCAATATTGTTGCTTTCAGTCTAAAAAGTGAAAGGGAGAAAGTATGCTCTTACCTTTGCTTTTTGCCCAGTTCAAGAAGTTTCTGCACATCACTTCTGGCTGACGCTTCATCATTTTTCAAAGACTGATAACAAAGGAAAAGAATCAGTTACCAAAGAGATCTTGAATTCTGCTCATTTGTGAAATCACTGATTGGGATCCGTTTTGTAAAAACGCTCCCAGTGAATTGCCATGGGTGAGAAAAGGAGGAACACCTGTCTATGCTTTTTACTGTAATTCAGCACTGTTAACTATACATCATTTTGCAGCAAGCACTACATTGCATCCGACTGTGTAAAACAGATTAAGAAACAAACAAACGACTGAAAGCACTAAGGAGGCATGACAGAGATCAGTGTGTGTGTACAGAATTCCAGAGAATTACTTTTGTATCTTTGGATATCTGAGGTGTTGAATATGAAATACCTCACAATATGATTTTCCTGAGTACTACCTTCAAACTGCTGCATAAAAAATCCCCTTCTAAATCACCTTAGCAAAAAGAAGATAAGTAAAAAAAAATGCAGTGGGAAACTACTGGTGGTGCTGAGGTGGGGTTGGGTGGATGGAGACCACCCAATGTTCTATAGGGCACCATACACATTAGTTTCAAGGAGAGAAATCTTGAATATAGGAAAATAGAGCACAACAATATACTACAATACAGTATTGGCACACATTGTCTCTATTGTCCTGTGCAAAGATACAAGGATGCCACTCCTTTTATTTTTCCTATCTAGCTTACGTCAACATAAGGGTACATATGCAATGGCAGGAGAATACCAGCCTCTAAAATGCTATGCAATACCAAAAACCTCATCCAAAAATGAGCCACTGCTAGACTGACAAACAGTCTCAGGCAGACAGGCATACTCTTAAGTGATCATCTGATGATTTCAGTACAGGATCCAGAGCAAGATCTCTACTTTTCATTCTACGGAGCTGAGATGATGGCAGAGTTAATCTGACTATTGTCCTTTCAGCCTGCCCACATTACCCAGAAAACCTCCTTAGTTAAAGCAGAAGTGTTCATCAGCTCTGGATGCCTAGCTGCCAGCTCTTCTAATACTGTCTGTCAGTTAAACTTGTAAAGTAATCCCCTGCAGTAAATCCAGTCAGTTGGTGTAGACTGCATGTCTGCAAAGTAAAGTTAGCAGCTACATTAGGCTTCGTAGGTGCAACTCATCAGCAAAGATGTGGCCTGCAACAGCAAAGGAAATCCTTTCATAGTAGCTGCCAGGTTCAGTGTGTGGGAAGTCCATTATGATTATTCTTTTCTGTTTCTTCTTTTGTTCTGCTACATTTTGTTTGCGCAACATTTTGTTTGTTTTTTGTTTTTTTAACTACCCAATTCATTTAGATTATGTTTTCCTTGAGACCATCCCTTTTACTCTCAATGCAAGGTAAACAATGCACGCTCTAAAATCAACAAAAACAATGACATTTTTATTTATTAGCAGCAGATAGACATTAGTATGAAAAACACAAAGTAAATAATTCTAAGTCCCAGAAACCCACACATAACCTAACCTGGAGGTTTACTTTAATTCCCTCGAGTTCTTTAGAAGTCTTCGACAGCTGACGAAGAATATTGCTCCTTTCCTTAAAGACTTCCTTCAGCTGTCTCTCCAGTTCTTCATAGCCCTGTCTAACACAGAAAACAAAAGCATGAAATCCTCTCAAAACATTCTTCAGTGCACTTCAAAACAGTATTAGATTGCCCAGATTTAATTAATTAGAACTATACAGTATCTACAGGTTCCAAACTGGAATGTGGAAAGATCTGTCTGTCCATATATACAACAGCTTGTTTTCTCCTAATACAGATCAAGAGATGCTTTGAATGACAAAGTGATGTGCTGCATCTGAGTATACAAATCAGACTGAAAATACTGGTGTATTGTCTATGGCAAGCAGGAGATTGAACAGATGTATTTAACATGTGTGATGGAATATAGTGTGAGATCTCTCCTGTTCTGAAAGACATCCTGCCATCGAAGTCAAGTAAAACTTGGTATGAAGTTTTTTGTCACCTGATAATTTTGGGCAAGGACAATTCAGAGCTGTTTGAACTTTGCAAGATTTATTTCATTTAAAAATTTTCCCCAAATTAATCCTCACTGCAGTACAGAATAGAGCTGAAAATATGCTAAGACGAATCAAATGCAAATTAATTTATATGGGAGAATGTTTTTTTCCTATCACTTCTAAAAACAACAATTCCTAGTTAGATTACAAGTGTATTTTCTAATGTTTCTGTAGAAATCCCAAATGATGTCAATTCTATACTCTATTTTTGGTCCAGTGAAATACAGACCCAACTCTCATATACTATTTCAAGCAAAAAATCCCAAACATCTCAGTTAATTCTAAAACAGCATATATTTTCAGATAAAATCGTTGCCTTGAGGAAGACTTCTCAGCAAGCTGGAGCATCTGTTTCCCCCTACAAGTACAGTAGAAACCTTTTTTTTTGCTTTGTTTTTACTTTCCTCACAGTAACTCTTTTTATCAAGGGAAAAACAAAATTCAAGCCTGCAACACATGGGTGCTATTTTATGCTCAGATAGAATCATTGAATCCTTAGAGTTGGATGTGACCTTTAAAGGTCATCCAGTCCAATTCCCTGCAATGAACACGGACATCCACAACTAGATCAGGTTGCCCAGAGCCTGATCCAGCCTTGCCTTGATAGTCTCCAGGAATGCGGTATCCACCACTCTCTGGGTGAGGAATTTCTTACCAGTTCTGTTATCCTCATCTAGAAAAGGAAAAACCGCTGGTCTTGTTGGGAACCTCTGAGAATGACTTTACGAACACACAGGGTGTCCATATAAAGAGGTAATATCAGGACTTGGTTATAAGTCACCTAAGTAATAATACATCAGAAATAAATGATCCAGTACAGGTCACAGTCCAATTATGGATTTACAAGAAAATCCATACACCAAGGATGTGAACCTTTGAATATACAATGCGGCATTTACACCCCACAGTTTAGTTCATGTTTTCTCAAGCTGAATGACAGAATATACTGCTAGATGAATTAAACCTAGCTACTGCAAGAACGCTTGATAAATACTAGCAGTCTAGTTGCATGCAATGAAAATAAAATCTCCAGCATTAAGTTTTATGTACAACCACTGACAGTTTTTGTGACTGCCCCAGCTATCTGATTTTTTAACTAGGAATATACAATGGTCAGAAAGCTATCTCATCTCAGTGCTTCGGACAACATTATATAAAACTAGCATAATGAGTTTCAGATAATACCCTCATTTTAATTTGATAACGAACAGAGGTCAAGCAGGAATTTCCTCCTGCTATGGGGTAACAAGGCAGTTTCAGTAAGGTCACCACTTCCTCCTTAAGCAGCACAATGCATGTATTGACCTCTTGCCACTGAACTGTCATGCTTTTGTTTAAAGTAAAACCTTGCATTAAAAAATCTGTCCAAGTGGTAACACTGTCTTAAATAATCACTTCCAATTAAAGACCCAAAAAGACCTGCTCCCTAGCCCCCTTCCCCAAAATAATTCCATTACACATGTATTAAATCTGTTATCTGAATTTTAGGTTACAACACTTAGTCCATTCAGCAAAATGAAGTGTTATTTCCAGCAAATCCATCTGAAACTAGAATACTAGAGCAAATACTATAGCAAACAGATTACAGGAAACATTTCAACAGATTATAAATTTTGGTGTAAGAAGGAGAAATGTCTATCAACTCCATCTCTCCATCACTACAACTCTGACTACTATTTCTTCAAATATCAGAAGTTCAGCTTTTAGTCTTCAAAATAAAGATCAAGACTTTTCCCTGAATAACATGTACAATGGCAGGACAAAGGAAAACTGATTTTGTTTCCTGAGAAACAAAAGTAAGAAAAAGATTCATATCAACATAACTGAAAGTTGAAGAAAAGAATCTCTAAAATGAGTGAACTTGAGATAGAAATCATTCACGACAATAGAGCATCACATCATTGCCTTTTCTCTATATAAATATGAGCATTTTTAATCATGAAGTTCAGGGGGAGGGAGGTTACTGACAACCAAGAAACAGAATGAATAAAACACGCAATAGGTAATACACATAATACAGTATCAATATAATATAGTATCATCTAACCTCAGCTTCAACTATATTTATAATTTCAGTCAATTCTGAATCAGTTGACCTGTGGGAAAAAGTCATATAGGCATTTTGCTGAACAACAGATAAGCCCTTGCTGAAATACAATCTGCCAGATATAACCACTTTGCACACTCAAATGGCATTTCCATAATATGTTCTGTATTTAGCCATTATCTAACCACTGTGTTTCAGGCTGAAGAAAATACATTATACTAAAAGGAACATGAAAAAATTGGGATTTAGGGGAACCAAGGAACATTTTTATTTACCTGTCCTCCATAGCTTGTGTACAAAATATTTGATTGAATGTTTCCCCTCTACCTACTGAGAATCACGCACAAGTATGTAGTTTATTAACTATTCAGAGCAAAAATCCCTTAGTCAATACTTACATGAATTCTAAACAGGCTTAAGCATCCTATGTATTTTAAGTGCAATAGCCCACAAAATGGTTGCAGCCTAGATGCGTTTTATTAGGTTTTTCCACAACTAGCAGCTAGAGAATCAGGCCCTTTGCATCCACTTCCTCTGACTTGTTAATGCGTGCACTCTAAATAAAACAAAACCAACCTGGCTTCTCTTTGGCAGACCCTTGGCTCTGTAGAATGAGTAACCCACCAGAGAAAGCACACAACTGCCAGTTCCCACAAAAGGAGCAAAAAGAGACTTCTGAAAACTTGTAGTTGGCATAAAACAAGGCTCCGAGAAATAGAACAGCAAGTTATGTGTTTAACTTGATATTGAGAATAACGACTCAGGGGGAAAAAAAACCCTAAAACTTTCATTGATCTACTTTAAACTGCATAGGTCACGAAAAGTGAGTTAATGTCACAAGGAAGGACAGCACAGAATGTTGTGATTCCACACTAAAATAACTTTACCTAGAGCAATAAATCCTTACTGAATTCATACAAATGTAATAAGGAGCAGGCACATAAACCTTCTGAAAGCTATTAAACTCTGCACAACTACTCAAATACTGCATAAATATAGACTTGTCCTCTGCATGAAAACTTTGCCTTTCACATCAGTTCAATAGGATTTGGTCTTCAGTAGGAAATACATTCACACTAAAACCTTCCTCTTTTTGATAGGTAACATTGCGATTTTTCAGTTCTGATATTCTTCATCATTTATATCCGCAACACTGCATCTACCTTTGTTTTCTACCGCAAATCTTTGACTGTGACCTCAGTGTTAATATCCTCAAATACACAATACATGCAGTAGACTTAGCAGATAACCAAAACCAATTTCTTCCAATAACTCTGATTAAGTCAGGTTAACATTTCTGTCTGTGCGCTATGTTAAATTCTCTACTTACTGGCTATGAGTACTAGCATAGCATGCACATATCTGTCTGAAAGAGACAATACAACACAAAAAAGCAACTTTTGTACACAGATTGTTATGAAAGCTACATCAGAATGGAAGTATATCAAGGTTCTTATCTTGGTTCCCAGATAGTGGTAGAAAATTTCTCATTTCAGTTGGCTCTTACGGCATTGCATCTTTAGTCTTCCAAGACTTCCAGTCTTACCCTTATCCAGGGCAATCCTGAATCTCTTTTGGATTCACAGCAAACTTTTCAAAACTAACTGTGGGTCCAGGGTAGTCTGGCTGTGGTAAGCCTCGTTGTTTTGTTGTTTAAACTCTTATCTCCTTATAATGAGTAGGTCACCTGCTCAGCAATTCCATCAGCAAATCTGTCCCGCGCATGCTCTTCAACCTGTTACAGTGGCAACAGAGCTTTAAACGGAATAGACAGAAGCAATTGCATAGCTCCTTTGCTGCCAGAAAGGCAACTTTGAACAATTTCACGTCAAATTTGTCTTTGAAGTATCAAGCCAATCTAACTTTGTTCAGTCCACTGTGAAAACAGATCATCATCTCCAAACACTACTACCCTGTCTGCTTGTACAAAACACAGGATCACACACTCTACAGCACTTCACTTGGAATATTTCAGACTTATTTCTTCAAAATCCAGAAAGTTCTGTTTTGTGTAGAAACCATTTTCTCATAAAGCTGTGTTTAACAGGAGGGTTTTATTCTGCTGAGAACTGCTGAACTTGTTGGTGTTGCTGCTATAACATGCATTTTTCTGCAACAGAATCATTAAACATGCTACATTTCTCAGAAAACACTTGGGCATCTATGACAAAACCTGCAGGCATTTTTCTCCCTTCCTTCCACTAGTATTTTTACCATGTTTACTTGTTTGGTGCATAAAGCATTTCATAAACACTATTTTTGTGTTCACCATGGATTTTCCACAGCACATCACTTTCTGAATGATCCAAAATCTGGAATGAATTAGGTTTTCATTAGCATAAAAGTCCTTAGTGAACAGTGTCATAAGGTGAAAAGGAACACTAGGAAACAAGACACTAAAGAGGACTGAGCATGGGAGAGGCTGCAACAGAAGAAGTATTACAATCCAAGCCATACACAGCCAGTAGCCTATATCAAGGCTCACCACACTAAATTCCAATTGCTTGCTACAT